TTCCATTTGCTTAAGCATCCATTCATGAAATTTTGTTTTTACCAAGGGCTGAACTCTTGGGATGGGCAAGGACCAAAACTTCTCGAAGGGCTGAACTCTTGGAATGGGCAAGGACCATAAACGATTTTATCAATTAATTTAGAGATACAAAAAGGAAAAGAAATCATGGTACAAAAAATTTATTTCTTACTTAATTTGCATGTTGGGGTAAGAAAAATCAATATTTTTGTATACTTTTGTGTAGTCACATCTTTATTTGGACACTTATGTTTCTATTAGGGAATGGTACATATAGAATAATGGTTCTGTGCTCCTGTTTTACTTTAATTATGAGTGTACTCTTATTTAATACACAATCGTGTGGGAAATAGGATGGAAACAAATACATCAGCTAATGATGATTGTATAATAATTGACCAATCCACAACATGGATTGATGCGAAAAAAGTGACAATCATCCGGTTGATGGTTAAGATGGTGACAAATGGAAACAGACCTACATCGAGTTTCAACAATATAGGGTGGAACTCTATTAGAAAAAAATTTAATCGAATCCATAATAAGAATTATGTGCATGTGCAATTTAAGAACAAATACAACATACTTAGGAAATGCCACTAGGATTACAACAAACTTATAAAGCATAATGGGTTTATAGTGGATCTTGAGACCAAGATGCCAGTTGCCAATAAAGATGTTTAGTAAAATGTTTACAAGGTTAGTGAATCACAAACATTGACATGGTTTAAAAGTTGATTGATGTAAATATTGACTATACATAAACACATGTAAAAATGGACGTGGGCAAAGAAATTTAGGATAATAACATATCAACACTGGGATGAATTAGATTACATCTTTGAGAAGACACAAACAGTGGAAAATAGGGATTACTCAACCAACATGGATTCATATCACCTTATCGAGTCCACACAACCATCTAGCTCTGTAGCAGTAGTTGATATTCAAGACAGTGGAACCCCCTTACTAGGGAATCATTGTTAATTCCCAATATCGTTGATCTTAACGATGACATCCCAACAAAGTCCCTTGAACGTCATACTAGAATTGGAGATTCTCCAACCGCCATGAAGAAGGGGAAAAGACATAACATTCTCCAACAAAGTCTCTTGGGTGGAGATGAATGGAACAAGATGTAGTGATGTACAAGAGAGAAATAGCAAGAGAAATGATAATGAGGAAAGGTTAAAGGAGAAGAAAATGAAGGATATGATAGAGAGGGAAGAAATACAACAATGCATGAACATTCTTAATGATATGTACGACAACTCACACTTTTCACTCTATTGTTACTTCAAAGCGATGGAACTCTTTTATGATGCAAAATGAAGGAAATCTTTCATGTTAGTAAGACCTAAACATAGGAACGATTGGATTGCTGCTCTCATGGGTGATGGACCATTGAGCCATCATTGACATTTTATTATCATTTACTATGGACTTCAAACTAGTAGTCCGGTTTTCATGGGTATTTTGATATGCTTCCTATATGACTTTTTTGGAACTCCTATGTGGACTATGTTAGGTTTCATTATATGTTTTTGTTTTTGGGAAGCCATGTGAGAATACATAATCATTAGTCTAATGTATATTGGATTATTGCTTTGGAATGTATTTTTTGTTTGATCTTGTTTATGTTAACCATCATAGAGTAATTATTTTCTATTATAGTGGAACATAACATCATGATGACACGTTGGCATAAAAGGCATGCAAATGACGATGATTCATCACCATCAGACGATGACATGATGAGGATGGGTGTTGCAATGCCTTGGTGTTGGATGCATACAATATGAAAATATTAAAATGACCATGTAGGACATTTTCCCTAAAGGGACGTACATATGTATGGCATAAAATACTAAATTTTATGAGTCATTTAGGATAGAACGAATATGTTCAAAAACTTTGCGAATCTACTTAGGCAAAGGGGATACATGAAAGACATGAGGAATATCATTATGAAGGAGACTTTGGCATTTTTTCTTATAATTGTAAGCCAAAATGATAAAAGCCGCTTGATGGTAAAGTAGGGAGAGAGATAGTGACTCTACCTCCCATCGATCAAGTTTCGACATATATTAGGAAGTCAAAGAGATTCTACCTAATGTTTAAGGTATTTATAATATTAATCACACTACTATTTTATTATTGTTTATGATTTCCTATTGAGTTTGTTTTATACCAATAGGATTGCATTAGTGCTACGGATGGCACATATGCCGCAAGTTGAGCATATATCTTATAAGGGTAGGAAAAAAGCTTGTACATCAAATGTCTTAGTAATATGCAATTTTGATATGCTTTTTACCTTTGTATACATTGGTTAGGAAGGATCTGCACATGATTTGTTTTAGGATACTTGCAGAAACCATGGCTAGGCCAAATGTTGGGTTTTCAATACCTCTTCCAGGTGATTCAAAATAAAATATTATATCCACTATACATTTATTCAATTATTCTTCATACTAACCACATGTTGAAATGTAGGTAAATATTATCTCGTTGATGTTCGTTTTCTTAATGCATTAGGATTCCTAACTCCATATACTATACAACAATATCATCTTAGTGAGTTTTGTGGGCACAGTGGTAGGTTTAGATCCAAGGAGGATTCTTTTAACTACACTCACTCTTTTTTGCACAATGTCATCGAGCAGTGCTTCAAGATACTAAAGAGCAAATTTTCAATATTGAAAAACATGTCATGCTATGACTTGGACATCCAACAGTAAATCATAGTAGTGTGTTTCATAACATACTTCATAAAGAGAGGGGCATGCAAGGATGTGAATATTAATCATTGGGTCAATAAAGATGTGACATCAAATGATGAAAGTGATGGTCTTGGAATCAGACAACAAGTTGCTAGTTCTTCTACTTCCAATATCAAAATGAGCATTATTAGGGACAATATTGCTAATGCATTACGGGAGCGGTACCAAAAGAATCAACAATGACTTAGTGTTCTACCTATAGCTTTTTTAGTCATTATATAATTGTATGTGTTACTATTGACATTTATGATAATTTGTAATTGGATGCATTTTTTGTTTGATATTTGTATGATTGGATATTATTGGTATTTTATGTATGATGTCGTAGCTAATGTTTTATCTATCTCATATAAATTATCATGTTATTTTGATTTTTATATGATTATGATGTTTTTATGCTTATTAACATTGTATTTTGAAAGTGCAAATGGTCGAAGAGATTTACTTGCAATGCTCGTGTGGAAATGGTCTTATGACCCTATGTATAACAAAAACTAAAACAAATTATGGGCAACATTTCTTCGCTGTCCAATTCGAGGAAACCATAGATGATCATTTATTTAGGTGGATGAATACCTTGGGACCCATCCAAAATCACTTAGGAGACTATTTACCATAATTCATCCACATCACAAACCAAGCCCAACATTAAATACATTGCAATTGTTGCTTGTTGTAGTTGTAACATCATATGTATGATGTTATTGATGTGGCTTATGATGTCTATTTAATCATATGTTAATTAACTACAAAACTTGAGTAAACTAAGACGTAGTGATATGTTTATTATAACTCATATGAACATGTGATAATATTTGTATGGAAAAATACGGTCCATATGGCACATTATCTATTTTATGCAACTATGATACGATTCTTTGAATTAACATGCAACTTGCAAATTTCTGTATGTTTATGGAAAAATTTTGTCCATTTTGGTTTTTTGTCGATTATGCATTTTTTTAGTTTCAACCTTTTATATTAAAATATTAATATTTAAAGCAAAAAAGACATTTTTAGCAAAAATAATGGAACAAAGCACATTTTCCACCTTAAAAACATGTAAATCTCGAAAAGCTACCCAAAATAAAAAAAAACGATCACCCTAATTGGACATCCGGGCATAAAGTTATGGCTTTTAAAGTCCACATTTATGTGCAAAAAACAAAATTGTCAAAAAACCGACTGATTTTCTAAAACCAAAACCGGGTTACTGATTTTGACATATTTTTTCCCCTACTACAATTTTGGGTATGACCAAACCGATTAGGTTTCTAGGTCATGGTTCAACTGGTTCGATCAAGTCTGATTCTTTAAATTTTGCAAATAACCAATGTTAAACTGTACATTTACCCGGAAGATGGAGAGGCTCATAGATCAAAGTATAATTATATGTATTAATTATAATATATTTAAAATAATAATTATATTCTTTTATAACATAATATAAATTATATATTAGATATATATTATATTATATATAAATATAAAATATATATTTGTATGTATGTATAATTTATATGTAATATATTATATGTATTGGATTATAAATTATATACTAGCAAGGGTGCCCCTGCTTCGTAGGGGCTAATGACAAGATATATTACTCTATTAGAATTATGTAAATTGGAAAATAGAAAATTAAATAAAATCAAACTTGTTATAAACAAGTTTTTTCAATTTTATTTTGCATGTTCTTATAAATAAAATCAAACTTGTGCAAAATTGGATTTCTTTTCTAAATTAATCCAATAAGAAAATATTTTTTTTCCTCTGGAAAATCAAAATAAAATTTAAAATAAGCAACTATTTGACTTATGCAAATCCAAAATGAAAAAAATTTCCCTCTAAGAAGGGTATTAAATCTCAAAGTCATAATTACTTAGGCTGCGTTTAGTTCAATGGAATAGGGGTCTAGAATTGGAATCGGAATATCCAACTGTTTGGTTGGGCGGAATCTGAATCTCATTCCCATTCTTGATGGAATGGCATCCCTCCATTTGGGGGAATGACCATTCCCTACCCCTCCCTTGGTAATGACATGCCATTCCTGCTAAATTCAATTTTCATTTCCATTATTGTCTGAACCAAACAGACTATGGGAATTGACCATTCCAATTCCCATTGCAAACCAAATAGACCCTTAATTTTTTAGGGGAAATGGCCATTAAATTACAAAACTTACTTAACTTATTAGTTAATTTTATCTATTAATTATTATAAAGGTAAAAGCTAAAACAATTCTCTCTCTCAAATATGAATTGTGCAATGTTGCTAGTGACAAAATTGATAAGAGGCTTTGTGGTATTAACTAAAAAATCTTAAATATACGAAATTGTTTTAGTGATATAGAGGAGGGTATCTTGAATTTTGTGTACTCGTGAGAGTGAGGTGGAACAAAGGCTGGCCAAGATACAAGAAGTAGCAAGTATTGCTAATGCAGAGAAGCATGAAGAAAATGTTGTGTGGTGTGAATTTTTGAATCCAATGTTTACAACAGATCACAAGTATCGATGCAACTGTATATTACAGTTCGATAATATTTAGAGAAGTTAGAAGAAAGGATAATGGTCCACTTCTTGCTGCAACTATTGCTGTTGGATTTACCAAGATAGAGTGGGAAGAAAGCCACTTCTATATGTGAGCACAACTGGGATGATATGACTCCTTGTTTGCTTGCATTAAGACTTCTTTAATGGGGCATGGACAAGCTACAATTGTGCTAGAGATTTTAGCAGTTTGTGGGAATGTAGCTTTTTTTCTCAGAGGGAATTGGTTCAATTTGTTGGGTGTTGACATCTGAAATTTTCCCTCTAAGGTTGCAAGCTCAAGCATCAGCCTTAGGGGCAGTAGGAAATCGGGTGTACAGTGACTTAGTTTCTAGGGGTGAGCAAAAAAAACTGAAAAATCGAACCGACCGAAACCGAATAAAAAACTCAGTTAATCGAATCGGTCGGTTCGTTTTTGGTTTGATATTCTTAAAAACTGACAATTCTGGTTTGGTTTTGGTTAACCTTTAAAAAACCGGCAATTAACCAAACCAACCGGTATATGTATACTAATAGTCTATATTTTTTAAAATTGAAAAGGCTTCTTGCAGATTTCTAATATGTAATAAAATATTATATTTTATTTTTAAGATTAGTCCTCTATCTTATAATATATTATAATATATTTTCTCCTTTGACTTTTAATGCATTCCTTTGTGTTTTCTGACTTTATGGTGATTCAACTTTTCAATTTTCATGATTTATATATTATATTTCTTGTTGCAGACGTGCAGATCTAGAGCGACACTTATCTGCCCAGTCCAACAACTTTTAATGATTTCCTCTCTTTGAATCAAATTAACTTGTCTTAAATGGCTAAATTCCTTTCTCACTCTTAGTTCTCAGTCCTCAGTCTCATCTCTCTAGTCTTCTTCTTCCCCAAACCAAATGACGGCCTCCAAGTCTCCGATTGATGACCTCTGGGCTCCGACCGATGGGTGAAGACCTTCGATTTCTCATTCTCTCATCTCTCAGTTCTCTCTCTCAGATTAAACGCCTTTTCCTTTCTCACTCACTCAATTCTCAATCTCTTATCTCTCTAGTCTTGTTCTTCCCCATACTGACCAACGGCTTTAGAGTCTCTGACCAATGACCTCTGGGCTCTGATCGGCGGCCTCTGAGTTCTCAGTTTCTCATCTCTCTTCTTCTTCCCCAATGGAAAAAAAATCCCAAAGACCAGATAGAACGACAACCTTTCTCTCTCTCTCTCTTTACTTTGAGTGCATAAAAAACTAAAAAACCAAACTACAGTTAATCGATCCATCGGTTAACCCATCAACGACCGGTTAACCAGTTGCATCGATTCGGTTTCAGTTCAAATATTCAAAAAACTGATCAAATCGATTTGGTTCAAAAAATAACCCCACGGTTCGGTTAACCGAACCATGAGCACCCCTACTAGTTGCCATGTCCTTCCTCTCTATTTCCAATGCCATTACAGTGGCGGGAACCTTCTTCATCTTTTCCATGATATTAGCTCTCTCTCTCTCTCTCTCTGTTGTTTTTGTTGTAAATTTGTCCCAAAAACAAAGGGAAAGTCTCTAGAGGAGATAAAGTTGCTATTTTAGAATAACGGAGAAGCAAAGCAAGTGAAGTGGAACTAGGAGATGTAGAGCATCTAGTGTAAAAAGAATGAGCACTCAAGTTTAGTTTGATAATGATAATGTTGAAGCAGCTATGAAAGCATACGACTAGCTTAAAAAAAGATGCTGGTTTCATCTATGTTTAAGAGTTTATGCATCTCCAATGAAACTCCTACCACAATTGTGCAGGACTTATCCAAATTACATTGTTGTGATTTAGTCATAACATACATAAGCATAAATGAACTTATTCAGATTGTGGTGTGCAATTCTTCCTCTAGGGTTGGTATGCCCCAATATTTATGAGGAATTGCGGTGTGCAATTCTTTATGCTATTGCACCTTTTAATGCTTCACAAGGTTTCCTTTTTATAAAAAACCAAATGCCTCTTACAATGTGAAGTCAATGTTGAAACAGATCTGCACAATAGGAAATTATTGAATATGAACAGATTTATACCGCATGAGAGCCTCATGTTTTCATGTTTAAGCTCCCCCCAACCGTTTACCTAAATCCAATAGAAACAGGGGTAATAAAGCAATGGATTATTTGTTCCATTATTAACAGCTAAAAATTTAAAACTTGGATAAGGGAACTTCTATTACTCACTATCTGCAGAGTCTTTTGAAAAATAACAGCAAGAGAAAATGGCCATAACATTCAAAAATACAGACCTAAACTCTAAGCAAGAAAAATACAAGAAAGACAATATTCCCTCTCTGCTAATTGGAAATGAAACATACAGGTTCACTCTCTCTACTAAATGGAAATTGAACTCAGATTCAACAATCTAAAAGTAACGATTAATAAGAAATAAAAGTTAAACAATAACAGTTTACCTATTTGGCAGGAAAACCGATTGAAGCTACAAGCGTGTGGGTTCCTGAAACATCTTCTCGATTCCAATGGCCATTCATTCATCTAGCATATCCCTCTCTCAGCTTTATCGACCAACTAAATCCTAAAAATTATAACCCAGTAATGAGAAATATTTGAAAAGGTAAACCCCAAGCATAAAAATAATGAGCAGAAGAGAATGGAGTCACTCGGGAGTGGAAAAGCCAGCAGTACATGAAAGCTCAATCAAAAGAAGAAGATTGGGCCATGTTTGAGAGTGCTTAGCGCTTATTTGGGTGGGGAGGGATTAGACCTGTTCATGGGCTGGGCCGGGCCGGGCTTTTACTGTGTATTAACAAATTTTTCTAAGGCCCGAGCCCGTGTCCGGCCCGACCATCAGGCCTACAATTTGGGCCCGAGCCCGTGTCCGGCCCGACCATCAGGCCTACAACTTGGGCCCGAGCCCGGCTCTCATAAAAAGCCCGAAGTCCGAGCCTGGGCTCGGGCCCGAAATTTAGCCTATACTATTACTATTATTAATGTTGAAGTGGCTGAATAGAGAGAGAGATTGAAATTATAAAGAAAAGAATAAAAAATATATATATATATATATTAAATTATAAATATATATTTTAATAAATATTATATTATTTATATATTTTATATAATATATAATATATATATTATATATTTTATAAAATATATAATACTAAGTCGGGCCGGGCCCGAGCCTGACCCGAAACACAGTCGGGCTTACTGTGTTAGGCCCGAGGTCAGGCCTGCGGGCCTAATTATATGACCAAGCCCGACCGGGGTGCGGGCCGGGCCGTCGGGCTACCCGGCCCATGAACAGGTCTAGTGGGGACTACACCATTAACCCCTTAGTGGAGTTTATTCTAAATAAGTGTTTATTTTAAAAATAAGCCCTCATTTTTTTAAGCCCAAATTTTAAGTTTTTTTAAGGACTTAAACAGTAAGCCATTTTTTATTTTTTCCTATCAAAACTGTCCCCCAAAAAAAATTATAATACCATTAGTGCCCTTCGAATCTGAAAGCAGGTTTTCCCATCGACATTCGACACAATCTTTCCCCATTGCTCGTTTTTTTTATCAATAAGCGATTTAAGCCCTAAGCCATTTTTTAATTTGTCATCTTTTCCATTGCTCTCTCCAACCAGCGGCGGAGTATACTCGTTTCTTCCCTTTCTCACTGCGTTTTCTCCCTTTGGCGGAGTATACTCATTTTTTAATTTCCCCATTGCTCGTTTCTTCCCTTTGGCGAACATTGAGGTAAGATTTCTTTCATGGCAGAGTGTACTCCTTCCATTCACTGCGATTTTTACCATTTTCCTTCATTTTCTCACTGTGTTTTCTCCTCTCCCTCATCTTCTCACTGAACCAGCGGCGGGAGTCGTTCCAGCGGCGGCAATCTATTACCTGCGGTCGAAATCGCAGCAGGTTGGTATTTCATATCGACTGGTATTTTCGTTATTTGACTCCCAAATGTTTTGTTTGAGAACCAGTATATGTTGTGTGATGAATGTTAATATACAGCTCCTGCTCATGTCTGTCGTTCCCTACCCTACTGCTCATGTCTGTCGATGAATGTTAATATACTACATGATCTCTCATAATAAACCGAAGAATGAAGGATTCTTGTCCAAAACATCATTTTGTTTTTCTTTTCTGTTTTAATTTTTTCTATTTAATCTGTATTTAAATTATTTACACAACTGAGGTGAGCAAAAACATCATTTTGGAGTAGAAAATTCTTGTCAGACATTGTTGAAGGATTCTTGTCTAATACTACTTTTTGGTTGACAATGACACAGGAAAGCAGGAGTAGTTTATTTAGATTGGCACCTTAGCTGCAGAGATGATTCGTCGTACTTCTAGATTGTTCACTGGTATGCTCTCTATTAGTTTTACAAGTTTGATTTACTTTCTTCGTATAACATTGTTATTGGTTATATATAATTATCTATGATCCATGCGATAGCTATGTATGAAAACCACACTTCTCATTGGGATTATCTTCTAGATGCTAATGCAAGATTTTTTTTTTTATTACTTCACAAAAGTTAATTTGTCTTCCTTTGTAAAACACGTGCATCTTGCATATCCTAAATTTAGAGTGTTTGACATAACTTATGTGTTTCATATGCTAGGCTTTGTAAACAGAAAATATATATGTCTTGTCAGCATTGAGTTGTTTGTATTTGTTGTTGCTATCTTATCTGTTTGATAACAAGAGTTTCCTATATTGGATTTAGAAAAGGCATACAATCTAGTGGACTAGTCATTTTTGGGAGAGACCTTAGAAAGATGTGGCTTTGAAGACTGTTAGAGGAAATGCATTGCTGGATGTTTAAGATCTTGTTACTACTCCCTACTTGGTATTAGTAAATGAGGTGGTAAAAGATTTTGTTTCTACAAAGAGGGGTAAGGCAAAGAGATCAACTATTGCCCTTCTTGTTCACCCTTATATTGGAGGTCTGTGGTAGACCCATTCTTAGAGAACATGCGAAGCCAACAAGATTTGAAGGACTGTATCCTGTACAGGGCTATAGTGTGGCTAAAATCTTTGGAGTTATTTCAGCAGTTTTCTTTGGATGACCTATGGAGTTATTGGGCAGAAGTGACAAGCAGTTCCTTATTGAAGACAAAGATGCTCATGAGCTGGTTACCCCCACCTGAAGGCTTCTTGAAATTAAATTTTGATGGGAGTGGCCTCGGAAACCCAGGTCCTTCTGGGATGGGAAGGGTTATAAGGAATGAAAGTGGTTCTGTGGCTCTTCTTTTTTCAGGCCCTTTAGGTGAGGGGGACCCCACGAGGGCAGAACTATTAGCTGCACTACAAGGGCTACAGTTTGTTGTATAGATAGGAGTGGAGCAGCTACTAATAGAAGGTGATTCTAAGGTGGTTGTGGGGTGGCTACAGAATCCAGAGACTGCAGTTTGGTGCTTCAGAAATGAACTTAAGATTCAAATGCTTGATGAGAAACTTGTATGTTAGAATACAATGGGTAGGGAGATCTGCTAATGCTATGGCTGACTAGTTACCCAAGCAAGGGGTAATAAGGGAATATTTGTATTGAGCTCGACTGTAATCTGTTTTAGTGTTTGAGGGGTTGGAGAGGTTGCAGCTAGAAAAGTTGCTCCTGATTTCTTTCTCTAATAAATTCTTCATTTATCAAAATAAAAAAATACTGTTATCAGCTCCACTTTAGCTGACCTTCCCACCTATTAACTCATTTTTTTATAAAGTTAGCCATTTCAAGCCACATATTATTAGTTTCTCCATCTTCTATTTTCCTTTTGCTACCAGTACGCCTCTAAATTGTACTATTTTTTCTCCTTTTTTCCCACCTAATTCATCAGCACCTATTTCCTTTTCCATTTCTCTTTCATTATTTAATGTGCACATCTACTACCATTGATCTCTATTGTGTGGTTAAGCTTTCCTGCCAAGTAACTTTGTAGATTTTGCACATCACTTGTTCTATTCTGCTAGAAAGGAGAAAAAGAAAAATCTATTTGACTTAAGTTTGATTCACTTTTAAATGTTATTAAATCTTCATTCTTTTTAAAATGTGTTTACTATTATCATACCATAAACAATTGCAAATTATAAAACTGTATTTCTTGTTTCATTCCCTTCTCCAAAGCCAAATCCTCCCTGCACCACATCATAAGCTGCACTTCTTCTCCCCACATGTCCATTTAGATGTCTTCTTATAAAAATCTTCTCTTCTCTTTGAATTACTTGGATAAGTCCTTCAAAGTGTTTCCACGATAGTCTTACTTGAAGTGTAAAAGCACTAATTATCTTAATAATTATGACCTGAGTGCATAAACACTAAAATTGTATAGAACCATTATGACCTGGGCTATTCATTTGGTTATTTATCATATGTATAGCAATATATATCATTTTATTCTTGTTTTCCTTCTCTCTTCGTTTTTTTTTTCCTGAACAAGTACTTTAGTCAATAAGTGGCATTGCATGGAGTAGTTACATTTATATCAGTGTGGCATTTTATTTGTGGTATAAGAACATAATTAGAACTGTGGACTCATACTAATGTTATTTTTGTGGTATTGTATCTCAGCAGTACTTGGGTCATTTGTTCTGCTTGCTTTGGCATCCTACATGCATTGCACCTAGTCAGGAATATAAGCTCAATTACTTGGATTGGTAAACTTCATACTTCGTATGACAATCTTAATAATTTCTTTTTCACTAAAGTTTTGAATGAAACTTATCCTAGAAAAGTTCTCATAGTAGTGAAATTGAAGGCAGAAGGGGGATTTGGAATCTGTAATGTCAAGTTGAAGAATCTGGCTTTGCTTAGCAAATGGGTATGGAGGTTCCCCAATGATAATGGGAAATTATGGCACAAAGTTGTTGCAAGTATTTGTGGCATGTCAAGAATGGATGAGATGCTGGGTTTCTCCATAGAGCTACCTTGGTTGCTCCTTAGAAGGCCATCCATGAAATTCTTCCTATCAGTCTAAATCATGTTAGGCATGACTTGGCTTTGGGTTAGAAAATCAGATTCTGGGAGTATGTGTGGATTGGGGATATCCCTCTAGGTGAGAGATTTCCTTCTCTTTTTGATCTTTCCAGGTTTAAGGGTAGACCTATTTTTGACTTCATAGGTTAGCACCCTAATACTTCAGGGTTGAACTAGAACTTCGGCTTTAATGAGAACTTTAGAAAATCTGAAATTCCTAGTGTGTTCTAGTTGTTAAGCTTGCTGAATTCAGTGTTTCTGGGAGGAGGCTCAGATTCTAGGATTTGGGGCCTTAATTCTGATGGGTTGTTTTCTTGTAAATCTTTCTTAAATTCCTTAGTAGCCACCTCCCCGTCTTCTTTCCCAATAAAGGAAGTTTGGTGCTTTCTCTTGGGAACTGTTTCGTTGTTGTACTAATACCTTTGACTTGCCTCAAAGAAAAAGACCAACTTGGTGTTTGTCCTGCAGCTAGTGTGTCCTATGTAAGTTATGAATGGTCAGACTGCATTTCATCTTCTATGGAGTTTTTTTTTTTTTTTTTGATAATTGAAATAATTTTATTAATCAGCAATAGACAATAGTACAAAGTCCCCAAGGAGAGGCACGAGTTGCAACCTCTCCGAGCTGGTTAAGTACGGATTTCCAAATTAATAACAACTTACAAAGAAGCACAAAATAGATATTCCCTATAAACCCCCTGTTTGGCTAAAGCATCAACCAAAGAATTAGCAGACCTACTAACCCATTTTACCTCAATTCTCATATTGCTGGTTAACCACTTTACTTTTTTGATGAGATCTTTGTAGCCCCAAATGGTGGTATCCAAGTTTAGGATCCACCTTGTTACCACCTAAGAGTCCCTTTCAACTAGGAGATGCTCCACCCCAAGCTGGTTGGCGATCTGAATTCCTTGTACTGGAGCAAGGATTTCTGCCCTTGTGGAATCCCCCACTCCCACTGGTCCTAAGAATAAGGAAATTATGTTGCTGTCCTTATTTCTCAAGATACCCCCTATACCTTAAGGCCCAGGGTTGCCTTGGCTGCTTGCATCAAAGTTCAGCTTGATGACACCTTCCAAAGGTGGAACTCATTCTGACAGAATTCTATCCTTCTTTGTTGAAGTGTTAGCTATTGCTAGCCAATTCCTCCACAAGTCATAAAAAATATCCACAGTTTTCAGCCAATGGATTGCTCTTGTTAGAATACAATCCTTCATTTCATCTAACCCTCTTTCCTTCTCTAAGAAAATTCTTGCATTCCTTTCCTCCCAAAGAGTCCACAAAGTGGCTGCCTTGACACATTTCCACATGACCTTACCTCTTCTAGTGTGCCAAACAAAGACAGATGGGTTGAATAACGAGCTTAAATCAGAAGGCATAGACCACCTACCTCCAAATAAACAAAGGCTCCACCTCCATATAGCTGTACTGTAGCAAAGGAACAGGAGATCAGCAAATGGAAACAATCATCATTCTCGGCCTTACACAAGGAACAACAATTTGGGGAAAGACAAAGAGAGGGTCTCTTTTTCTGTAAGTTTTCCCAAGTATTGATTTTCCCATAGAAGACTTTCCAATAGAATACAACAATTTTTGGGGGAATAGGTCGTGCCCAGACTTCTTTGATAGGGAATCCTTGGGAAATGGGGTTAGAACTGAGGGATTTTAGAAAAAAAGAGCAAGAAAAAGTACCTTTTGGAAGAGGAATCCAAATCCTTTGATCAGAAGAAGTGGGGTCCAAGCAAACGGATTCTAGTAAAAGAATTAGCTCAATAACACAACTCAACTCACCATCCCTTAACCCTCTACAAAACACAAAGTCCCAGTTTAAAGATAAGGGGTTTAACAGGCTCGGGAGAAAAGTTGTAATTGGTTCATGTTTGTGAAGGGAAACTGCACAACCATGAATGCTTGCCACCACCTCATGCCATAATCTCTCTCTCTCTCTCTGAGCCATCTCCATAGCCACTTCCCTAGAAGGGCTACATTCTTCAGCACTATGTTCCCTATTCCTAAACCCCCTTCTTCCTTTGGTTTGTTAACTATCTCCCATCTGATTAAGTGATCCTTTTTCACCTCTCCTGGTTCCCATAGAAAGTTCCTCATTCTCTTCTCCAGTTTCTTAGCCTCCCTTGGAGGAATCCTGAACACTGAAGGGAAGTAGGTTGGAAGGTTGGCTAGTGTAACCTTAATTAAAGTCAACCTACCCCCTATTGAAATGTAATTCTTTTTCCAAGCYGCCAAGCACTTATCAAATTTCTCCACAATAGGGGCCCAGAAACTACTTTCTTTAGGGTTGGCTCCTAAGGGTAGCCCTAAGTATGTCAAAGGCTAAGAAGAAATATTGCAACGTAAGCATTCTACGATGGATTCAATCTCCCTATTCTCCATGTTTACTCCAACCACACAACTTTTATCAAAATTTACCTTCAAGTTGGAGACCCTCTCATAAGTAATTAAAATCTTAAGGTTCTCCACTTTGCTCAACTCATTCCCTTCACAGAAAATAACAATATCATTAGCAAACTGAAGGTGGTTTATTGGAATGCCTCTACTCCCTATTCTCCATCCCTTTATTTGGCCCTCCTCATCTGCTTTGGAGATCATCCTACTAAAGACATCAGCAATAAGTGTAAGGAGGAAAGGGGAGAGTGGATCCCCGATCCCCTTGTCTTAAGCCTCTATTGGCTGGAAAAAAGTCCTTAACCACCCCATTCACCAACATTGAATAATGACAAGAGTTTAAGCATCCTGTTATCCAATTACACCATTTATCCCCAAATCCACGTCTTCTTGACATCTCCAGCAGGAAACTCCAATCCACTAAGTCATAGGCTTTCTCCAAGTCCAATTTGCAAATAAATCCTTTCCTGCCCGATCTCCTCATCTCTTCCACACTCTCATTTGCAATAAGGATCTGATTTGTAATTTGTCTATCTTGTATAAAGGCTCMTTGTGCTTGGCTAACGAGAGAGGGGAGAACTGCTTTGATCCTCCTAGTGAGCACTTTTGCCAGAATTTTATAGATGCTTGTCACCAGGCTAATTGGCCGAAAATCTTTGGGGTGTCTGGCATCATTCTTTTTGGGAATTAAAGCTATAAAGGTGGCATTGATTCCAGGACTCAATGTTTATCCTCAAATTCTCTAAATACTCTAATTAAGTCTTCTTTCACTTTGTCCCAATAGTCCTGATAAAATGCCATTGTAAATCCGTTAGGACCCAGTGCCTTAGCCCTATCCATAGAAAAAACAGCTTGTTTAATTTCCTTTTCCTCAATCATTCTTTCCAGCCATCCCTTATCTGTTTGGTTCAAAGTTGGCCAATTCTCCTCCCCTACTATTAACCAATTCTCTAAGGATCTTTGAAAGATGGATTTGAAGTRATCCACAATCCTACTGGCAATCTCCTCTTGAGAGGTTATCTCCACACCATCAACTTCAAGCTTTAATATCAAAATTTTCCTTCTCCCATTAGCCAAAGCATGAAAGAACTTGGCATTCCCATCCCCTTCCTTGATCCACTTATGTCTGGATTTTTGTCTCCAAGAGATCTCCTCGCTCAAAAAAGTTTCCTCTAACTCCTTTTTCACTTTCCTCTTCATTTCTCCGTCTTTCTCATCCATCATCCCTTGGGATTCTTTTGCATCTAACTCTTCAATCTGAACCAATAATCTAGCTTTTACCTCCACTCTTCCAAATTGTTCTTTATTCCATTCTTTTATTTTGCCTCTCAACCTTTTTAATTTTTTGTGGAATCTAACCCCATCCCATTTCACTTCTCTCATTTCTTCACTCCACCATTCCTTAACCTTAGGCAAGGAGTCCGGGTGTGTCAGCCACATGTTTTCAAACCTGAATGGTCTAGGTCCATTACCAAGAGATTCTTGTCCTACTTCTATAGGGTAGTGATCAGAGGTTATCCTAGGTAGGGCCTTAGCTTTGAGAAGGTTGGGTTTTCTCAGAAGTTGGATCAAGTGTAGGTAGCCTGTAGTAAAGGAAGCTCCCATAACTCATAGGAATTTATGAAGTCATTGAACTTCCTCATACTAGTTGTAATGGCTTGTGTGAGATTATTTGACTAATTTGTTAATCTTATCGCATTAAAATCCCCTAAACACCAAAGGTCTTTCCACAAACCTTGAATTCCATGAAGCTCCTCCCATAACTCATTCCTCTCTCTATGATTATTTGGACCATACACATTTTTTAGCACCCAAATAAATCCATATTCCACCATTCTGAATTTTAGGGATACAGTGAAGTTTCCTACTAGCTCCTCTACTAGTTCTACGAAGTCTTCCCTCCACAAAGTTACTATTTCCCCCGAGGCTCCCCATGACGGAGCTGAGCACCATCTTACCCCTCTTATTTTCTAGATCTCCCTGACCCACCTTCTATCCAGTTCAACTAATTTTGTCTCCTGCAAGATCACAACATCAGGTCTTTCTCTCCTAAGTAGCTCCTTAATCGATCTCCTTTTTCTAGCATTGCCCAAACCCCTTACATTCCAGCTTATTATCTTCATTACCTTTCAAGAATTTAGCCCTCCTATATAGTGTTCCTTCATTGAGAACCCTTCTTTCTTTCCCCTTTGCCATTGAACTCGATATCCCCTTCAATGTCCATTATTAGTCTCTCTACTTCAGACTTTCTCTTCTTTTTCCTACCCTTATTTCCCACTGACTTCCTATTCTGCCCTTTATTTCCTACTTCCTGCCCCAATCTATTGGTTCTTGCCTCTGATTCAGGGTTTTTGGGAGCCACCTCTATCAATTCCTCCAGCAGAGCACAAATCTGCTCCCAAATCCACTCTAACTCCTCTTGTTTCCTTTCTAACAACCCAACTCCCTTCTCTAATCAGACTCCATCATTATCAATCGCCACTTCCCTGCTACTAGTTGGTTGGTCCGGTTGGGATTCTAGGACATCTGTTATAGGTAGAGAACCCAAGTTAGTATCTAAAACCAAATGGACAGGCTTACCTGGAATTAACATAGATGGTTGCATGTGGACCGGCTGCTGGGTATCAATGAAAATGGGAAATTATGGCACAAAATTGTTACATGTATTCATGGCATGTCTAGTGATTTAAAAGGTGTGCCTAGGCGCACAGGCGAGGCACATTTTAGGGTAGGCACCTCGCCCAAGTCCTAGGCAAAGCCCATTCAAAAGGCGTATGCCTGGTGTGCCCAGGCGTACGCCCTTTGAAAATTTGCCGCTTTTTCCTTTTTTTTTGAGTCTGGCGATTGGGTTTAAGACCCTAACATGGACTTGTTTGGGCTTGCCTCGAGGGGCGTGGCACAAAGGCGGCTCGTAGAATTAGGAATGTAATATGTCACATTAGCTACATGATGCAGTTGAGAAAAAAAAAGAGATTGTGGGTTTTATATGCTTGAAATGTTTTATATGTTTGATTTCATTTTTAAATTCTCATTTGAATATGCTTTACACATTATATTTATGTATTTTAATTTTAGATAATAGGTTTTTTAAAACATTTATTTTAAAACTTAAGTATATTGTTATTAGTGTTATGTTTTATAATTTTTTTGATGTTTTTTTTGAATTTTTAGCTTTTTTTTTTTAAAATTGTGTGCCTTGCCTCAAAAAGGCACGCGCCTCACCTTGCGCCTTTTTTGCGCCTTGTGCTTTTAAAACACTAGGCATGCCAAGAATGGATGAGATGCTGGATGTCTCCATAGAGCTACCTTGGTTGCTCCTTGGAAGGCCATCCATGAAAATTTTCCTATCTTTCTAAACCATATTAGGTATGGCTTGGCTTTGGGTTAGAAAATTAGATTCTGAGAGGATGTGTGGATTGGGGATATCCCTCTAGGCGAGAGATTTCCTTCTCTATTTGATCGTTCCCGGTTTAAGGGTAGCCCTATTTTTGACTTCATAGGTCCGCACCTTCATCCTTCAAGGCTGAACTGGAACTTTGGCTTTAACAGGAACCTTGGAGAATCTGAAATTTCTAGTGTGTCTGAGTTGTTAAGCTTGCTGAATTCAGTGTTTTTGGGAGGAGGCTCAGATTCTAGGATTTTGGGCCTTAATTCTGATGGGTTGTTTTCTTGTAAATCTTTCTTAATTCTGATGGCTTGGCTTTGGGTTATAGAAAATCAGATTCTGAGAGGATGTGTGGATTGGGGATATCCTCTAGGTGAGAGATTTCCTTCTCTATTTGATCGTTCCAGGTTTAAGGGTAGACCTATTTTTGACTTCATAGGCCAGCACCTTCATCCTTCAGGGTGGAACTGGAACTTTGGCTTTAACAGGAACCTTAGAGAATCTGAAATTTCTAGTGTGTCAGAGTTGTTAAGCTTGCTGAATTCAGTGTTTTTGGGAGGAGGCTCAGATTCTAGGATTTGGGGCCTTAGTTCTGATGGGTTGTTTTCTTGTAAATCTTTCTTAAATTCCTTGGTAGCCACCTCCCCTTCTCCTTACCCAGTCAAGGAAGTTTAGTGCTTTCTCTTGGGAAGTGTTTCATTGTTGTATCAATACCTTTGACTTGCTTCAAAGAAAAAGACCAACTTGGTGTTTGTCCTGCAGCTGGTGTGTCCTATGTAAGTTATAAATGGCCAGACTGCATTTCATCTTCTAACCTCATGCCCTTTTGTTAGCTCTATTTGGAATTGGTTTGCTTCCCTCTTTGGATGCAGATGGTCTCCTAACAGGTTTGAAGGATTGTTTAGCTCTACTAGCCTTAGTTGCACTAAAAGGAGGGGTAGGATCTTGGGGAAGTGTACTAGGGCAGTGGTGCTTTGGATTGTTTGGAAGGAAAGAAATGCAAGAATATTTGAAGAAAGAGAAAGAAGCAAGGAAGCTTTGATTGGAATAATTACTTTGAGAGTGGCACACTGGGCAAAATCCTGAAGCTGTTTTCAGATTTTAAGGTTGAAGACTTTTTCAGGGCTTGGGGTGTTATTGTTGCCTTGTCATCTAGATGACAGAAATCTGCTGAGACAATGGTCACCTCCAATAGGTGGCTTGAAGAAGCTGAATTTTGATGGGAGTTGTCTGGGTAATCTGGACCCCTCAAGCATGGGGAGGCCATTAGGGATGAAGAAGGAAACATCATTGCTTTATACTCCGGACCTGTTGAACAAGGTGATGTGGCAAGATCAGAGCTTTGGGCTGCAGTATATGGGGTTGAAAAGGCAAAAGAGTTGGGTATTAATAGATTTTCATTGAGGGAGACTCGAAAACTGTTGTGAAATGGCTGCAGAAGGGGGAGGGGGTGACATGGCATTTGAGGAATGAATTTGGACGATTTAAATGGCTATCAAAGGACATGTGAATCTGAGTTAAATGGGTGAGGAGAGCTGCCAACAGCATGGCAGATGGTTTAGCTAAGCAAGGGGTACAAAGAACTTACCTGTATTGGGTTCAATTGTAATTTTTGGATTGGGTCAGCTTTTCTAAATCTGTGCTTTTTTTTAATCATAGCCTGTTGTTGTAACCATTCTTTGTTCTAATTTAATTCATTTCTGTGTTGTTGAACTTTGTTATTATACATGCATGGCATGCTATTCAAATAATTCCACCAAATACTTTAGGATTAACTAAAAGGATATCAAAAGTATTTGTCTTCTTTTATAATGTATCACTATTTTCTGGGCAACTGAATTGAATCTCATTTAATTTATGTTAAAAAATATAGTAGGTCAGTCATTGTTGGGGAATTTTGGCATCAATTCATCTAATTTTCTGGGAGCATCACATGAGATGGCAACAACGATGACTTGCAATAATTTCTTATCTCTGGTTAGTTTTTATTTCTATGATGTTGTCTTTGGCTTCCAGTTGCATTATTTATACGCAGATTATTCTATTGTTCAAGCTTAATGTGGGGTATGAATACCTGCCACATAGTGCACTATAATTTTCTTTGCTTTGCTTTGTGGAATAGCAAATTTTTTATTACACTTTTTAATAGAAGCTGGCTACTTCTTTAGGAAATCAAAATGTCATAGTCTGTTTATTAAGAGCATACCCATTAAGGCATGATGATGGAAAGATGATCAAAATCTCGTGAATTCATTGTACAGATACTTATAATTCATGCTGGTTAGTTGGGAGTTAGGACTATTCTTTGTTGAGTCTCGTTAGCAAGTTATGGATAATCTAATTCAAGGATGAAATTTTCTCAAACTGGGTGAAGAATGATGCATGATATTCCTAGAATCAACCAATAAGTGTTCCCGATTTTTTTTCCCAATTTCTGATTTTTAAGTATTTTTTTTCTTTAGAGGTATTTTGGTAATTTTACTTGATGTTAATATAATCTAGTCATTATTTGGGTCTTATTTAGGTTGTGCATGGTTATAGGATAAGTAGAACTAAATTATTATGCTTTCTATGGACTGAAGCTTGCAAATGAATATCTCTTGCAAGCCTTGTTTTGGATAAAAAATGAATTGAATGTGTTTCTTCAGTGGCCTAATTCTTCCTTGTTTCTTCTCAATGTGAGCGCCCACCCACCCCCCCCACCAAAAAAAAAAAAAACAATTTGTCTCCACTTTCCAAATTCTCATTCTTCTCCCATGGTTCTCTATTACATGTTTAATCAAGATCTTCTTGTTAGCATATCTTTCAGCTAAGCACAAGGCTTCAAATCATTCCTTAGGACCCTTAAAACAATCCAAGCTAAGATCCCTCTCTCTTTCATATTTTTTTAATATTTCAGCCATTTCCAGTTCTTTTCTTTTTAGGAATTTGTTGTCATTTTGTGCAAGATCATCTAAGATTCATCTCAAATTCAGTTGACTTTTATTTTTCCCTATCCAAATTTTGAGAACCTACTTTCTAGTTTTTTTGGGTTTTCACTCATGAATGAAGATTTTTGTCATTTTGTGCCTGAATTGCTCAGAAAACTTTCAAATTAAAATGTTCCATAGGCTGCATTTAGCAAGAGTGTAAACACAAAATTGCATGGTACAAATACAAAACATTTCAGTTCGTATAAATGCAAAAAACAAACCAGTTTAAAGGGCAGATTGCACTGTTGTTTATTTGGAAGGATTCAAAAGAACAATGTTTTTTTGTTGCCATTTGTTTCAAAAAAAGAAAGAAAGAAAGAAAGAAATTTAATACAAATACAATACATAATCTTGCAGGGGAGGCATCAAATGGAGATCAGTAAGGCTTTATTTTTCTGATTTAGTCTACTGCAATCTCAAGGTATCATTGTTTTAACAGAACAGGGGAAAAGAAGATTAACCATAAGTTCAGCGATCTCCATCTGATGGAGATTTCAGTCGATTTGATAAAAGGTTGTATATTAATTGCAAGTAGGACATGGAAAAGAAAGAAAATAAGTCCAAATGATTAACCATAAATTCAGAGATCATTATGAAGAAATAAAAAAAAAGCCAGTGAAGAGGATCAAAGAAGGGTTTCAAATAATGACGTTGATCTGCAAAACTACTCCTATCTGTATCTGGAAAACTATTCAATAAACCTACCTTTATTCATATTTTGCTGATGATCCAAAACATAAAGAAGAAAGACAAATCTACAAATCTGACAATAAACCTTGATCTGATTCATCTGAAAATGAGGGATCTCAAGACAAATTCATTTGCTTTGTGAAATTAGTATGTTCTCATTTCTCTCATTTTTTTTGTGTTTATTATCTTGTTAAACCGGTCAAATAATAGGTCTACTCTCTATGTAATATTCTTAGCTGTGTATCTAGTTTGATTTGCATTTTAGTTTTCGTCTTCTATTTATTCTCACAACTCCTTGAATGTCCAGTTATTAGTGATCAAGCTGATATCAAGCTGTGTTTACATGTTTACAGCAGCAAAGGACGTTCATACAAATGAGGACTAACCTTAAGGTTGTAGATAACTCGGGGGCAAAGCGTGTAATGTGCATACAAGCTTTGAAGGGGAAGAAAGGAGCAAGACTGGGAGACACAATAATAGCATCAGTGAAGGAAGCCCAACCTCGTGGAAAAGTCAAGAAAGGGGATGTTGTCTATGGTGTAGTTGTGCGTGCTGCCATGCAGCGGGGCCGTTGTGATGGGAGTGAGATCAAGTTTGATGATAATGCAGTGGTTCTTGTCAACAAACAAGGAGAGCCAATTGGTACTAGAGTATTTGGTCCAGTTCCACATGAGCTAAGGAAGAAGAAACATGTTAAGATCCTTACTTTGGCAGAGCATATTGCTTGAGATAAATTTCCCTTCAGGATTTTAGTTGCCTTTAATTGATTGTTCTAATCTAAAGACAAAAAAGAACAGTACAGGACTTTCAGTGGTTAAGTCTAAATTAATGTATTTTGGCCATCTTTCTTGCTGCCAGTGAAGTTTGAACAGTTTCTGTAGAAAAGGATTTCAGATGGGGTTGTATTCTAGTAAAGTAGGATTGCCATGAAAACTGTGGCTTGTGCTTGTTTTTGGACAGCCTTTTTTTAACTATTCTTTGCCATCTAGGGTGCTGATGTTGCCAATAGAGGCCATTGCTATGTCCATTTGTCCATTCATTCCCTCTTTCCCCAGGCCTTGTGCAGAACGTTCCCCTATTCGGTTATAGTTCTTTCTACAAGGAAGAATCTGGTGGCATTTTCTTTTAGTCGTGTCAGTGATACCAAACGTGAAATTTAGAATATACTTCATTGGGAGTTACCATTTCTAATGCAGATATCAATGTTTATGTAAGGTTTATGGCATCTGACTGATATTTGACTTTGGAAATCTTACAGCAACCAATTATCCCGATTGAGTAGTTTGATAAATGTTGGAAATTTACCAATCTGCCGGCTTTAGGCTTCCAAATGAGAGTTCGGCTTCTATCAGGGCAAGTCGGTGCTCGCACCCTTCGAGCAGCCTTTTGCAACCTTGCATTGGGAATATCTCCCATGAAAGAAATAAATCAGATAACTATGGAGATATTCCCAACACAAGGCTGTAAAGGCTATTGGAACGGACTTTGCCCTGACTGAAGGGCATTACCTAAGCGGTATTCTTTTTAGTAAAACACAAAATTTTCTCGATGATTCAGCGATATAGATTAATTTTGTTGATGCTTATATATCTAAATGCAATTTTATAATAAATATATATGTTTCTGAGTTTGATTGAAATATTATACAAAATTACATGTAATACTTGTGAAAAATGATTAAGAAATAAATATCTTGCCCACATTAAGTTGACTAGATTTCTGGGTTCACTTCCCATTAAAAATTATACATTACAAATTTATAATGCATTATTTAATATTTATATATTACTTTGCAATTTATTTGTATAGCATATTATTTGATTTCTGTTGTGCATTGAGGGGAATTGACAAAAAATGGAGAGCCCATGCACATAAATAAGATTTATATATAAGAGTTGAATATCACTTTTAACCCAAAAGTTTAAGTCATTAAGTTGTGGGTCAATTTTTATATCTAAGTCCTTTGCTTGAACTGTGGCTTAAAATACTGGCCAATTTGGTTATACCCCAAAAACCTGAATTAATAGAAAATCAATCAAAACTTGTTGATCGGTTCGTTCAACCAAAGAACTAGCAAATTAGTCCTAAGCAATGGCAAGACTTGAAACCTTAAACCTCTTGTTCATTTGTAGATGTGAGTGAAGAGGCTTGAATCCTAATAATTTACTTTGAAAATTAACAAACTTTCCATCTACCCACCACAATCAAACATAATATAATTTGCATAATATATTATATATAGTATTTATACAATCCAGAGTATATACAAATATGCTTTGAGTCCATTGATTTGACTTGTGAATCTCCTTTTTTTTGGTTTATTGCTCAATTTGATTCTTTAAACATTGGCCTTTTCCGCATTGGGTATTCCATATCCCTCTTGAATGCAAGCCATTGTTATCAATGTTTTAAAAATCAACCTGAAAATGGAACCACTTTTCACTCCGATTCCCGGGTCTCCGGTTCAACCATTTGGTTTGAGTCAAAAAATAATAAAAAATATAAAAAATATTTAAAAATATAATAACTATTTAGAAATGGAAGAATAGAATAGTTATTGCCTATTTCAACGGCTGTGATCGGATTGGGTTTGGTGGGGGGAGAGATAGAGAGTGGGGAAGGATAGGGTTTTGGATGGGGAGAAGGAACGGAGTTACAAGGGAGCAGAGGAAGGGACTAGGAAGAATAGATGATTTCCTTAACATGCCAATACCAAATTATCAAAGAATAAAAAAAAATAAAAAATCAAAGAACCAAATGCAACCAACATGCCAAAACTGTAGAAGATGGTTGTTGCCTTAAGTTGCATGTCATCATTTGCCGATGGTAGATAAATTCTTGTTTAAAGAAAAACCCTTTGTTGCAATCTGCTAAGTTCATGTTCAGAGAAAACCTTCTATTGCAAGCCAAGTCGTTGAGTTCTTGTGCAAACTGCTAAGCTCTTGTTAAGAGAAAACCTTTTATTACAAACCAAGTCGTTGAGTTCTTGTTTAGAGAAAACCTTCTGTTGTAGAGAAAACACCAGATTGTTAATCGCCGCTTAGTTCCTAAATGTTATGTTGAACTTCAAACCCTTTATTGCAAGTCATCTTCATCTGGAAAAATTACAAAAAAAAAAAAATCACTCCTATCTCCCATTTCTTGCCAGAAAAGAAATAAATTTAAGTAAAGGTGGAGGAGGGAGATTGCCACAGGGGGAATTTGGTGCAAAGGTGAAATTCTGAAAATGTTTTAGGGAAAATTCATGAACAGTACCCTAAACTTTGGAGGTTGTGTCAAGTCAGTCCCCAAACTTTAAAATGTGCCTATGAACTACCTTGAACTTTCAAATTGTCTAATAGATCCGTATCGTTAGTCAACATTGTCACATGACATCAGGTATGCATTAAATAATTTCAAAATGGTAAAATTACCCTTTATGATATTTTTTAACCATTTTACCCATTTTCTTTGAGTGTTAAAAGAAGTAAAGGGGAAGAAGGGTTGGAGCTTCAATAGTTGATCGATATCCTGTTTCATAACCCTTCTTATGAAACATTTTGGAATTATTAATGCATACCTGATGTCACATGATGGTGTTGGCTAATGGTATGGACTTATTAGACACAATTTGAAAATTCAGGATAGTACAAAAACACGTTTTGAAGTTTAGGGATTGACTTGACACAACTCCTAAAGTTCAGTGTACTGTTAATTTATGTAGGACTATACCTAAAATCAAGCACATCTACTGTTAATTTATGAAATTTAAATTCAAAATTTCTCATACTAAACATAGGGTCCTCCCCGACCCGATGTACTTACATAGATAATTTATGGAATATTTTTATTCATTTTTAACTATATCTTAATGATTTTTCATTTGTATCTTAGAATAGCTCTTCCCTATAATTCATGTAAACTCTTGCATCACAGCTGACCAGCCCTACCTATCCATTGCAGTATTTGTCCTATGGCCAGCCAGGGCCTGCTTTAAACAAGATCTACCCACACATTATGCACTTTAGGAGTCCATGTTATTTGGGAGCTTCCCCCACTTTTCCCATAACTATTGACCATTATTTACAAACTTTAAAACTAGCTTTACAATTAACAACATCATAACAATAACAATTAATTTCATAGTAGTAATAAATTAATAATAATAATATTGTACAAATATTGATATCATGGTAAAAAATAAAAAAAAACAACAAAATTGAATTATCATCCCATTCATGAAGAAAGAAACTGCACCACTATTTTTGTCCAATTAATTAACCACAAATATTACAATATTATAGCAAAAAAAAAAAAACAATTCAAGCACAAAAAGGAATTTAGATTAATATCTTATTAACAACAAATAATGAAAATTTCGGGTATTGTCATGTTCATTTGTAGTGGTTTGTAGAAAAAAATAGGAAAAATTGATAAAAAAAATTAGTAAATGGCTAGGAAAGTTGAAAACTTGAAGTTACCAAACCTAAAACCGTCACCAACTAGGTGGTTATGTGTCTTCCCAATCGCAGATCTGGTGAGAAACGACACAGGAATGGGTTTTCAACCCAATAAATTAGAGAAATCCCAAAAAAAATGTTTAGGAATAATATGGAGAAGAACATGTGAGATTTCACATGGATGCCAAGTTTAAAGTATTGATACACCCGTGTACCAGTAGAGGTGTATCGGTACTAAAAACTGTGTATGTGTGTTATGTTTTCTTTTAATTTTTTAAAACTTAGTTTTGGGGAGGCTGTTTAGTGTTTTTTATTAAAATGAAGGGGATCAAGGACCCAAAAGATATGGGGCATATCATATTGATACTTTAGATCATGTTGGATGCAAGAATGGTTGAGGAGTCGTTAGTTGTCCACTAGTTGCATGCCGCTGCCGCCGCTCTACATGCTCCTTGCACAAAATAATATGAAGATCGAAATAACAGAGTTGGCTCTCTCAATTTTGAAAGATCGAAGGTGGGAGTTACTGTCTTTATTCTTCTTTTACAGTTTACATTAGCTGCTTTCCTCTCTTTCCTTCTTCAAGGATTAGAAGCGACACCCAAGAATGGAACAAAACCATATTCCATTTACTTTTACGGAGAATAATAACAAATTTTTCTTTCCTTTTTTGAAAGCAAAATTTTCTCTTATTTTCAATGAAAACCCTACTGTATACACATTTTTGTGTTGAGAATCAATATATTTTTAAAACTTTACCAAATGGATGCAAATCTGATCTATGGTGCAAATTTGCGATGATTCAGCATTTGCACTCTAACAAAATACAACCTTAGGCTCAGTTTGGAAGGAGTATAAATAAAACTGTATACAGTGCAAATATAAGGTTCAGAAATGTCATTTACAAGGTTTTGTATTGAAATTTTCACTAGGCCCAATTTGAGAAAAGTGCAAATACAACTATGCAAGGTTCATGAAAATGATAACATTTGTATTTGTACCCTTCCCAAACGGAGCCTTAGGTTTCCTAAATCAAACTAAATTAACACCCAAAGAAAATCATTCACTGATTTTTATTTCATTTGCATTTAAAAAGGGGAGGAATCATTTGAAGAGGTATTCCCATTTTTCAATATTAAGAAAGTTTACAAAATGTTTTCCTTTTTGTAAAAAAGATGTGAACCCCATTTTTGTTTGAAGAGTACAATACTGAGGTGTGACCAAGAAAGTATACCAAATGAAAATAACAATCGACCAAAACAGAAACAAGATTGAAAACGCACTAACAGATGCATCTGTGACAAGGGGTGGATACGAGTCAAACCGAAATGAATATTAGACTATTTAAGTTTGATTTGACAAAAAAGCACAAGGCTCAAGTTGGTCTCACTATAAAAAATTTGTATTGATAAACCTAATAGAAGCAACAATGATACCAAACACAACCTTAGTGGGAGATTCATCTACAAAATATAAATTAAATAAAAAGCATTTGCTAGTAGACACCTAACGGCCTAAAGCATCTTCTGAAAATGTCATCAACTAATAGTTCTCATAAGAATTATGAAAGCTGCAATGTCCCATACCAAACCCAACAGGTTCTTAACTGTTTCCATGTTTCACCATTTCTGATGTAATTTGCCTGCCGAGTTAACTCGTGTTTTCAAATCATCCAAATGAAAAACATCACTCACAATTTAAAATTTGAGGCAACAAGGAAATGGTTGACATTCTTCAAGACTTGCTGTTGAAGAATCTGTACATAGATGAATGGGAGAAGAGATGAGAGTAGTAGAATTGGGGATGACAATTTTCCCTATTCCTTTCCGATACCCAACTTCTTTAGCCTAATGGTAAGGAATGGTGGGGGTGGGATTGAAAGTGATATCCAACAGACGATGGGAATGGGGAATAAATTCTCCGTCCTGATCCCCATTATATATATTAAAAATATATTACATATTAAATATGTATATATACAATATTATTTATTAAAATATATTTAAAAATTTTATATTTAAAAAATTCCTCTATTTTAAGAAAATTTATTTTCTAAAAATAATTTTAATTTAAACGTTTCAAGGATTTGGCTCCTTGATGGGGACGAATTCCCGTCAAGAGTCAGGGATGGAGGATCATTTTTTTCCTCGATGGAGATTAGGATCGGATAGAGATTTGTTTTAGAGTTGGGGTTGGGATGGAGAGTATGATCCCCATTCCGTTGCCATATATTCCTAAGGCCTCGTTCAGTTTTTGATAAGTTACTTATCTGGATAAATACAATTACCTGAATATGATTTTCCTGGGAAACACTTCCCCGGATAAGTGCATTTATCCATGTTCTTTTATTTCTCATGTAAATATGGCAATGACCATTTTAGCCATAAAAATCCAATATTAAAAAGGACATTTTTATCCCATTCATGTGTTGGCAACTTTCCCCTAGATGGAAATATTTACCTACGGATAAGTAATACCTAAGAAAATAAACTTTCCTTAGTCCCCACATAAATCTGAAAAAAGAACATGTGAGACTAATTTCCCCCTCTCAAAATCCAAAAAAAGAACGCCCCCTAAATACAATACGTCTTTAGGATTGGGGGGGGGGAAATTGCCCTAATCTGATTATATTTAGGACGAAAACGTCCTTTGTTCAAGGAGTAAAGTGTTCTTTTTATTTTTATTTTTTTTGAATCAGAAATTAGAGTAGAAGCCATTATAGATTCTATTTTTAATTTGAAAACCCATACCAGCTCTAACTCGGATTTCCATTGTAGTTCACCTCTTCAAATTTAATTCCGGATTCTTTCGCCATGTCGTTTTATTGAGCCATGAATTTAGTAAGTGTAAAGAAAGTCTCCAAAGACTCCAACTTTTGATCCTTTTAATACCAAAGAAAATAGAACAGAACAAGATGAATTTTTACAGTGTTAGATGTCTCAACTTGGTTTTGAGTACTCGTTGAAGGGATGGATGGAGAGATTGAAAATATGCAATCAAACTACTGGAATTGCAGGAGAGCATCAGGAAAAGGGTGCTTTTGCTTGAGATCAAATGGCTATGTGAACTAGTAAACTGTAAACCCCTCTAAAACTCAATCACTACTATATAAATGGAGTCTAGATTAGAATATGTTTTCTTGGAACTTGATAGGAGATCCAAATTGAGGAAAATTCAGGAAAAATGAGGCCAGATTTGTTCACAACAAAAAGCTGTTCAAAACTTCAAAATACATTGTGGGTCTTAGTCTCACAGTGAGATGTGCCGAGACAGATCATGCCGAATGCCTCCCACAGATCCCATTTGCAAGAAAAATAGGATGAGAGACGGAATGGGCTGTCCACAGGGAGACTCCCACAGTCGCCCCACAGCTCATCTCCCCCATTTAATGGGAACATCTCCCGTCCTTGTAATGGGTTTCATTTCAGAGTTAAATAATAAGGGGGGCTGGAATTCAGGATTATGCATCTTTTTTGGATTCAAAAACACTTAGAAACTCATAACATCTAGAAATTTTGAGTCACAGGAGCCAGGGTACTTTTAGTAATTAATCATTTTTATGAGAATGGTGACAACTGGGACTCTGGGAGACAGCCACAGCAAGTTGGTCGTCATCTGGTAGATAAAACATTGAGTAACGTTTCAAATGTCACTGTTTCAATAAAATATTTATATTATTATTGGGAATCCGCCCGAACTCATCTGGGTTAACAGTGCCTTAGCTAGTGTAATCTCTTTCAGAAACTGTGCCAAGTTAATCCGCAAAAGGACTATCGGCTTCAACTTCTGTCTGGTTGTAGGTTCATTGCCATAAGAGGTTGGGCTGCTCCTCTTCCCAGGTTCGAAAATCATATTCCAAAATCTCTGTTTTGTTTAATCAGCTTTTTCTTGATTCAGTTTCTTACTAGCTCCATCTGTGGATTTTAGCATAAAATTACTGTAACAAAGCCCCAAATTTCGTCAGCTTCGTTGGATGATCTTTGTAGCTCTCGACAACCCTCTCTTGAATTTCTTAATTGTGAATTTATGATCTCTCTCTCTCTCTCTCTCTCTCTCTCTCATACACACACAAAAATACATGTTCAATGTTCTCAACTCAGGTTAATGAAAATCAATGTTTTGATTTGCAATTTTCGACCTTTTAATCATACCTTTCTTTCTTCAATTGTTTAAGCTAATTTCATTTGCAGCAGTATACAAGTGCATGAAAATGCCAAGTTTCGGTTCACCTTTGCTCTGGGTTATACTTCACTTCAGGCTATTTTAGTTCATCTATAATGCAAATAAACAAATTAAGGTGAAAACTAAAAAAAAATAAATAATTGCACTCAAATACTTTTGCACAACTGCAAATGAAACTGCATAGACCTTAATGATTTGGGGCTTGGCAATAAGTAAATCTGTATATTTTGCCGTTTTAAGGCAAGCTTTGTATTAACAATTTTCCTTATAATGATATGGAGCTTTGGCTAACTTTACAGGGCCAGAGAAGCCATAGCAACCTGGGCTCCTAGCAGATTGAGTGATTTGTTAATTTGTTGGGTATTCTGTTGATGCTTATAATGACATGGCTTATACTTTCCAACTCCAAAAACCATGGCAGATGGAATCCAGGAGACTGATTCTGCTGATGCTTATAATAGGTTCAGCTGCTTTGGTGTTTCAGTTTCTATGTCTTCCCTATGCAAGCATTTTGCTCTCTGTACTACCTGCTTTTAGGCATCCAGTACTTGGAAGAAGCAGCTTTCAAACGGGAGATTCATCTCCTACACATGTGATAGTTGGAAACTTGCCCCTTTTAAATGATTCAAATTTCACTGACTCATCTTTGGTTCCTGGAGTGGTAAAGGGTTCAGTTATGGGGAGGAGAACTGAGAATATGAAAGAATCAAGTAAGGATCCAGAGAATGATTATGCATCAGAAGAGGTCCTCGGCCAAGGATATGATTCAGAATTAGATGACGTTGAGAACACATATGATGAGTCTTCATTTGGAAAATCTGAAACCCTGGTTATGAATTCCAAATTCAATAAAAATGGTTCAGGAAGTGTTTCTACATTAGAAAAAACCAGAGAACCTGGGGTTTTCCTTTCAAAAGAAGAAGAAGATAAGAAACCAGTTGATTTGTTATCCAATGATACTTTGAAGTCAGATATCAGTTCGGCATTGGATAAATTTGGAAATCTGAATACTAGTGTGGGATCACCTTCTTTCCGTAACTTGGACCTTGTTAAAAACTTGGATGAAGATTCAATCACTTCAAGCAATAGTTCTAAAATTACCAGTAACATCATGAAGAAGAAGATTGGGGGGATGCCACCAATCTCAATCTCCCAAATGAACAGATTATTATTTGATAGCCATGTTTCCTCCAAGCCAATGGTATGAATTTGGATTTTGAGGTCTTTTAAGACAGTTCAGTGTTTTTGAATTGATAGTTGACTTCTTCACTTGATTTTCTTTTATTCTGTAGTTGAAGGAACAACAGTTTTCAGTCCGTGACAGGGAGCTTCTATCTGCAAAATTACAGATTGAGATGGCTCCTATTATAAGGAATGATCCAGAACTCCATGCTTCTGTTTTTCGCAATATCTCTATGTTTAAAAGGTAATATACATTGTCTAAGTGGTGGTACAAGTACTGTGGAATTCCTTAGACATTCTGAATAAGAAGATTTTAAGAATATGAAATTTTTTCCTAATGCTTATGTAGGAGTTATGGATTGATGGAACGAATACTCAAAGTCTATGTCTATACAGAAGGTGAAAAACCAATATTCCATCAGCCAAAACTGAAGGGAATATATGCTTCTGAAGGATGGTTTATGAAGTTGATGGAAGCAAACAAAAAGTTTGTTGTGAAGGACCCCAGAAAAGCTCATCTGTTTTACTTACCCTTTAGTTCAACAAGAGTACGAACGATGTTGCATAAATATAAAAATTTCCACACTGTGAGGAACCTAGCTGAGTATTTGAACAAATATGTGGACATGATTGCAGCAAAATATCATTTTTGGAACAGAACTGGTGGAGCAGATCATTTTCTTGTTGCTTCCCATGACTGGGTATGCTTCCCATGCCTTACTTTTATTAGCTAAATTACAGCTTGTGATTTCTGTTATATTGGGGAACTACAATCATTGAATATGGATTAAAGCATGGCATTCCATTTATATATCTAATAAAACTGGACATTGTCAGGCCCCCAAAATAACAAGGCAGCATATGGGTAATTGCATCAGAGCCCTATGCAATAGCAACGTCGCCAGCGGATTTAAAGTAGGAAAGGATGTGAGCTTTCCGGTGACATTTGTAGGCAATTCAACGGACCCTTTAGGTGATCGTGGAGGCAAATCCCCATCTGAGAGGCCAATTCTGGCATTCTTTGCAGGAAACATGCATGGATATCTCCGTCCAATCCTACTGCAATATTGGGAGAACAAAGATCCTGAGATGAAAATATTTGGTCCAATGCCTCAGGATGATGAGGGAAAAATGAGTTACATACAACACATGAAGAGCAGTAAGTATTGCATCTGTGCTAGGGGTTTTGAAGTCCACACTCCTCGAGTGGTAGAAGCAATCTTCTATGAGTGTGTTCCTGTGATCCTATCCGATAACTATGTGCCTCCATTCTTTGAGGTTTTAGATTGGGAAGCATTTGCTGTCTTCATCCCGGAGAAAGATATTCCAAACTTGAAGAACATACTCCTTTCAATTCCAGAGGAGGTGTATCTTGCAATGCAGCTAAGGGTGAAGAAGGTGCAACAGCATTTTCTTTGGCACAGTCAGCCAGTAAAGTATGACATATTTCATATGACTCTTCATTCAATTTGGAGCAATAGAATGTATCGAATAAAGCCCAGATAATGATGTGATAAAGCTTTCAGATTCTGAGATGTGAGAGCAGGAGGAGCTTAGTCCAAGCAGTGACTCTGCTACCCAACCTGAAACCATGTGGAGGTGGCCCAGGAGTGGAGTATTTTGCCGAATAATAGTTTCTAACTCAATTGCAGTGCAACACAGGTTGGGTTTGATCATTAATATAGTGTTCTATAAAATGCCATAATTGCTCTCATAATTTAATGACAGTGGATATGGCACTGAACAGAACAGAATGGCGAAACAGGATTCCTGACTCGATATATATAGCTGTGGCAAGATTTAGAAGATGATAACAAAAGAACCATGATGGTTGTCTGGGACTTTTCAATTCATATTCCATAGGAGATGGATGTAGAATTACAGACAACCAATTAAATGATTGATCCATACGGTTCAAAATGGTACTAAAATCCCTGTTTACATTGTCCTTTTGTAGTTTAAGGTCTCTAATCGCTAATTTCCCATGCTTATAGGATATTTTCTATCTAAACTATGAAGCTTTTGAGGAAGTATGACATCTCTCTTGATACTTAATAGGATCTTTTGTCATTTATTCAAGAGTACCCACAAAAATTGCGCTTTTATCAATTCCCAAACCCATGCGTAACACCCTTGATCACAAACCCGTCCTACTCCTGTTTAAGTTTTCCTCCTAGTTTCTCAAATCTATCGTGACTCATGACCTGTCTCACCCGATTATCATTTAATCAGGTGGGATTAAATGGGTCGGTTCAGGTAGTAACAGAAAATCATTAAAAAAACCAAACCGCATTGATTAGCATCCAATATACATAGCAAAGCCTCAATAAATTAAAAAAAAAACTTCAAGTTCAATTGAAGTATACAAAAATTTTCTTCAAATTCATAACGGCATTCAACTTAAAAAAAACTTTAAATTGAAATTTGTGAAAATTCTACTTTAGTATCCTAAATTTTGGGGTAGTGTTGAATTAGTACTCGAACTTTCAAATGTGTTACCGCAGTACCCGAACTTTCAAGTAGAACGACATAAATAGCCCTTATAGTGTGAAAAAGAGAGTATTTTTTTTTTCAAAATGGCGATAATCATTGCTCATTAAATCATCTATGTAATGTTCTAAGTTGCAACATTCGTTTCCCATGGGTTTGCTTGTGAAATCTTTGCCAGAAAGGACTTAGACGATGTTTGCAATCAAGATAGGACAATACCCTTGTAGACGATAGCTTTCATGGCTAAGGGCTCACTCAACTGAACCGAATGCCCGGAGACTGAGCACTATTGTTGTTGCAAGCGATGACAACCATTGCAACTTTCTGCAGCCTCCAACTTTCGAATGGCTTCCAAAGTTAAGGGGCCTTGAACAGCCACCACCTGGTATTTACTTCAAGCTCACGTTGCCCCTAAAATGGGGAGATAATCAAGACGTCGGTAGCGGTGGTGCAAGAGAGAGGATTAGAGAGCTTTTTGCCATCTACCTAGAACACCACTGCTGGTATTCACAAAAGCCCTCACCAACTTACTGGCAAGTGGATTCTCTCTGATCGAAGACCTAGACCCTCAATTACCAACTCCTCGGCCAAGAGATCGTTCTATGGAAAGATAGCCACCAATGAGTGGATTCTCTTTGATCGAAAACCTAGTAGACCCTCGATTACCAATTCTGTTTCAATGAGTGGATCCTCGGCCGAGAGGTCATTCTATGGAAAGACAGAAACGCTGACGTGATGGTAGAGTGCCATAGGCCCTCGTTTGATCCTCAACATGTTGGAATATCCAATGGCCATGCGACAAGCCACATGTTGATGGAAGATGATTATCTTATGATTATCTCTATGCAACACTTTCACACACAATCATTCACTTCTTTTGGATACAAGTTCCAACTCTTATTGGGTCAATGGATATCCATTTGACCCAGTCTAGACTGGATGACCATGTGGTTAGATCCTTGGTTAGTATGAGACATTTGCCTCAATCTAGAGAGGCCTTAACTTGGTCTTCCCTCCAAACGTCCAAGTTGGTTAAGTTCTCTCCTCAAAACAAGAAAGGGAATGTTGGGGAAAGACATATATATATGACTATCACAAAGATAGCAAGGTGTGAAAATTAAGATAACTTGGAAGGTCAAGCAACCTCCAAATTTTGGCCCCATCCAGTTTTGACAGTTCCCTCTTGCATTTTGTTTGAGAGATAGTGTCTCAGATCCTATCTTGTGCATTTGTTTCTTTTTCTCTTTGTATGCAGGTTTGGTGCACCTAAGTATCAGCGTCCATCTCTGTATCTGCTCAGTCCAACATGAGTGGACTGCCTTCAATGATAAATTCCCTCACCGACTTGCTCCCCTCTCTATACCATTGTCATCTCTCTCTTCAGCTTTGTACTTTCTAGTTTAAATTTCATGGTAGCTTTGAGTGGAGAATGATTAATGTTATTAGCTAAACAGAGTTTGTCAACAATATGGTGTTGATGCATTTCTCTTCTTTTTCCCCCTTCCTACAACGCTTTCCTATGGCTAACTCTCTCATCTCTAAAAGCAAATCTTGATTGTGAACTCAAAGGCAAAATGGTGAGCAAGGGCTGAAGGAATGGATTGAAAGAAGAAATGGGCGGTTTGTTTACCTCCTCACCAAACCCTATTCTTTGCGCCCTCATCTACTCACAAGGACTTCCACCAGAACAAATAACCATTCCCACCAAAGCCAATGAAACTAGAATCTCCGAACTCTGCTTTGCCTGTCTCTTGCTAGATGAAAGAGGAACGCAACGAGAGATGAACTGCGAACCATGAGCAGACAACACATCTAGATCCATATCCGTCACCAACGAAGATCCTAGAATGACTTCAAATTGGGGTTGGGGTGGATCACCATCTCCCTCATCGTCTCCATCTCCCTTATCAACAAAGGCATTATGAGGGTTTCTAACTTCTAGAGGAACATAGCATTTCTGATGATGAAATCATTGCTGCCACTACAATAGGGTTTATGATGGTGAAAAACAAAGGGAAAAGGGATATTAGAGTTTCCTTCGCTCCTTTCAGCTCTTTTTGGATCTACGAAAATCATTGCCATCCCTGCAACTTCCAATAGCGGCGATGAACAATAAGGGTATTTTAGGAATTTAAATTAATTACCACTCATATGATGTCACATGTGAGCAAAGTGTGACGAAAAATTAACAAGGGAGGTTTTAGATAGTTGTCAGAAAACTTAAGGGTACTTTAAGACAATAGCTAAACATTGAGGGTGGAGTTAGTGAATTAGCTAAACAGTAGTAGTTTAAGGAAATTGCCTTTTATAACATTCAATTAGGCATAATTTTATAAATGATATTTTAAAATTAAACTAGGGATAATTTTGTTATAAAAATATCAAATAAGTGCTTATTGTATAAGTACTTAAAAAAGTTGGAAATTTGGGCTTAAAAATGAGCACTTATTTTTAAAAGGGAAATTGTCTAAAACTCACGAGTTTTCAACATTTCTCTTAAACCCACCACAACTTTTCAAAATGTCTAAAACTCACACAAACAAGCACGGTCAAATCCCATACGAATCCAATACAAAGAGAATCCACCCCAACTTGTTTTAATGCAAATGGATCATATTTTGAATCCATCTGATTTGAATGAATTAAAAAAAAAACAATTCCATTCTCAAATAACGGATTTTTTGAAAGATCTTAAAAGAACTTGAAAGAGCCATTTTAGACCTCAAAATAAGGCGAAAAAGATCAAGAATATACAACATCACATGATATTGGTTACGCCATTCACCAATTCATTAAATAATAAATAGAATAATAAGAAATATTGATGTGATACTGTTTGACTAAAAAATTGAAAAATTACAAATGAATGCCATTGAATAAACTACAAGCTATTTAATATATAAATTAATAAATATTGAAGCCTCCAAGAGGGCTTCATTAGCTTACAGTAGTTTTGAAAGTTAAAACATCTCTTATTTGTGCTATCTTAATTGAATCTAGACTGAGATCGGCTTAGTCAGTGCAAGACCCATTCGGACACCGTTCAAACAGCTTTTACAGGCTTGCATTGAGAACATATCCATACTTGTGTATGGTATTTTATTCATGGGAGATATTATCAATGCAAGGCTATACAGGTTGTTGGAATGGGCCCTGCACTGTCTGAATCCATTTCATCCAGACCTGTCCCGTTTGTGACTACTGGATTGGAGTGATTTATAACTCAAATAAATCTTGATCAATAATCGTTCATTTGTCTAGAGTTGGATTTCAGGACAAATTCCTCCCAATGTATGGAAGACAAATTTCTCCAGAAGTCACTCTTTCTCTGATAAAATGTCTATCCACTTCAATGTGCTTAATTCGGTCATGTTGGACTAGGTTATGGGCAATGTTAATTGCTGCCTGGTTATCACAGAACAACATCATAGGTTCTTCTGCTTGTACACCAATTTTTTCTAATAGGAAACTGATCCAAAGAAGTTTTGAAGCTCCATGTGCCATGGCCCTGTATTCAACTTCAACACTTGATCTTGCCACCACTGTTTGTTTCTTACTCTTCCACTAGACAAAGTTACCCCCAACAAGGGTGCACACTCCTAAAATTGATCTCCTGTCATCAAGGCATCCTGCCCAATCTACATCTGTATAAGCCTCTAGTTTCAATTTTCCATGATTAGTAAACAATATGCCTCTGCCCGGGTGTCCCTTCAGATAAGCAAGATCCTATCAACTGCCTCCCAATGCTGGACTCGTGGAACATGCATGTATTGACTTACCACATTTACTGCATAGGAAATGTCTGGTCTTGTCATACACAAGTATAGCAGCCAACCCACAAGCCTCTGATATCTCCCAATGTCCTTTACTGTCTCACCTTCTGATGCATTGATTCTATGGTTCTAATCAATAGGGCTACTGATTGCCTTCGTTTTGAGCTTCCCTGTCTCTTGAAGAATATCCAAGACATACTTCCTTTGAGAGATAAAAATTCCATGTTTTGGTCTTGCAACTTCAATGCCTAAGAAGTATCTTAGTTCTCTATGATCATTGATTTCAAATTCTTTTTGTAGACTTCTTTTCAGACAATCAATCTCACTTAGGTCATTCCTCGTGACAACAATATCATCCGCATAAACAATTAGGACTGACACCAAAGATCCCCATCGCTTCACAAACAAGGTATGATC